TATCTATCTATCTATCTATCTATCTATCTATCTCACTGTTTCTTGTTCCCATCGCTTCATGTCTCTCTCTCTGTGTTATGCAGGGTTCACCCGCTCCCTCCACCTCTCTTTCTTTCTCTCTCTCTTTCTCTCTCTCTCTCTCTCTTTCTCTCTCTCTCTCTCTGTGTGTTGTGTAGTATGGTTGAGGCTGTGTTTGCACGTCTCTCGGTACAGATGCTGAAGGGTGATTTCTCTTCTCTGTGACTCAGTGTTGTGGATTTGACATGATCGTCTGGTTCAGTAAGTAAAACTCACCTATGCTACTAGTGCCACATCATTTTATGATTAATGAAAGTTTGCGGTGGCGATCTTCAATGTGGGAATGTGGAACAGCTGTGCTGAAATGCGTATGTGTGTCTCTGTCCTTCACATGCAGAAGGTTGGCATGCTGGCAGGTGGGGACGCATTAGGTTTCATCCTGTGTCTCAAACGAGCCTGCGGAGCTCCTGACCAGTGTCACGGCTGTTTTTTCTCCCCTGGAAGCTCCAGTTACAGTCGAATGGGATTATGTCAAAGCTCTCCTGCATGGGTGCCCTCAGATATGCCTGAGCACAGACAGATTTTGCTGCCGAGCGGCGACAGGGACGATTCCTGTCACAGTGTCATGCTGTTGAGTTAGACTGCTTCACAGTAAGTCAGGCGGTGTAAACTAGCTTTTTGATGCGGGCAAGACCGTCTTCAGGGACCATAAGGCGGTGACCTCCAGAGTAGTAGCTTCACTGCGACAAATGAGTTTTTTTGGAAGTGGTGGATGCGCTAGGTAAGAACATGAGGGGGATCAGTGACATTGACAGTAGTGCTCTGTAGATCATCATGTCATAGATTCATAGCTGAAATGTACTATTACAGCAAACTTGTTATGAAGATAACATGCATGTTGAAAAAAATTTACTTGAAAACATTATATTGAGTTTTTATACAGCTTTATAATATTTGTACATAAACATAGAAATACATATCAGGTTAAGCTGATTTTCTAAGTTGTAGACAGCTGCCTGCTCAGCATTTTAGTCGTGCAGTAGGTGTCTTATGCACAAGCGCTTTAGTCATAAATGTGTGTCCGCTTTAACTATTGCAGAAATTGACTTCTGCTGCTGCTGTGGCTCGTCCTTCATCATGCCCGGCAGTGGGAGGCTCGCTCATTACCCATGCGTGTGGGGCTGTATGATTGTATCTGTAGGGGATCAGGTTAGTGCATGTTGCATTCTGATGCGTCATACCCGCACACATGTGCCGGACGCTCACAAGCCCACAGCTGGGCTGTGACAGACAGAAGTGCAGCCCGTGGTGCTGGATCATCTGTCACATGGAGTGAACGCGCCGCAGATGAGGTCAAATGGTTTGCGTTATCCTGGAGGGATCTGCTTGTCTTTGTGTTTGTGCACAGAGTACAGTATTAATCATTAGCTCGGGGACTGCAGGGTTTTGGGTGGAGGGGGGAAGCTTTGTGATCTACCGCCATTCATTACAAATGAACCTGGCATGCTTCATTATTACAGGCCCATAATGAAAAAAAATAAAAATAAATCAGATACATTTCATATAGTTAGGCACATTCAAGCTCTAAAAGAGTGGAAATGCATTACAACACTAAGGGTTTCAAACATAGTTTGAAAGCATCACTAAAGAGAAATAACAGACCATGATGGTAATGGTAATGGTTCATTATTAGTGTTCATAGTTAGTGTTAACCTTCAGTGTGTGTGTGTCCAAAAAAAAACAGAACATCGCAGAGACTTTCACGCTACACCCAATAAATACTTCACTTATTTATTTATTTATTTATTTATATAGTCATTTAGCAGACACTTTTATCCAAAGCGACTTACAAATGAGGACAATAAAAGCAGTCAAA